AAAACAAATATGTTGCTTCGCCGTATAAGTTGCATCTATTATGAGTCGCCGCTGATGCATCGCATTTATGTGTCAATGTTGACTACCTGGAAATGTGACCCGGTGTTGTGCCAAACAATGATTTGCTGCCAAAATGGTGCCCGCAGGAGAGCGCATGGGAGGACTTTAACAAGAACTTAACAAGATTAACACTTAAAAACAATTATTTGTTTTCTCGAAATTATAGCAAAGGTGTGACTCAGTCTAACTTTTCCTTAATAAATGAACTTTATTGGTCAAATCAGCTGCATTTAAAAAATCAATTTGTGGCTGTGGGAGCACACAGAGGGAGGACTTGCTGTGCATTTCTTCAAAATTTAACAAGATAAGTACCTAAAAATAATTATTTGTTTGCGCAACATAAAGGTGTGTCTCAGTTGACCTTTTCCTTAATAAATGCACTGTCATGGTCAAATCAGCTGCATTTCACCTGGGCGGTGCAGAGAAATGCAGCTGATTTGACGTTTGCTCCAGGATTTCTGGAGCGAGACGAAGGTGTTGTTGTATGGTAAGCCAAGTTTTCTCATTAATAGCCACTTTTACCTATTAATGAGACACTTGGCTTGCCATATTGCTCGAGGGCCCTCTAGTGGTTGAAAATGGTAGTGTTCAATATTTTCCATCAGAATGAATGAAATCGTCAGATCTCAGTCAAAAACTGGATTATAAATATGGAAAAAACGTATATTAGTCGCTTCGATGTATAAGTGGCAGGACTTCAAATTTATGCAACAAGGTGCGATTTATACGGCGAAAAATACAGTATTTGCGTTATTTTTACTATATGAATCGAATCAAAAACTGCACGAGTGGAGCAGACATGGCAGAAGAAAGAAGCCCACACACATCAGACAATATGAAGAGATGTAATTGTTCAGCAGCTCACTGAGAATAAATCAGATGGAGTAAACTATTATTTTCTAGATGGGTTCAAATGAACGGTTTTTCTAAAGATCTGACCATACACAACACCAAAATCACTTTTCTCAATTTTTTTATCAGTTAAGAATGTGTTTTCTTATTAAAACATTTAGAGACTTTTAAACAGCATCATGTTATGGAGCTTTCTCTCTTTGTAACTAAAACAATGAATGAGTTCCTCCAGGTTATTTGAGATTACCTGTTTGAACATCATCCAACTCTAACGTTAAAAACAATTACAGGCCTCCTTTATCTAAACAGTTTTCTTATATTTTTATAGATTGATTTTAATTTTTGCACTCTCCAAAACAAAAAGTACACCAAATCACAGAACTTTTTTTTTTCTATAAGACATCAACTTAAAATAAAAAAAGTCCATCATAATATCTGAGAGGATTAAACAAGTACTTACTCTCATTAACTAATTGTTAAATCATTTGTTCATTTTATTGCAACTACTGCATTGTTTCCCCAACAATTATACAGGCGGGGTGCCCGCCTGTATAATTGCCCCGCCTACCAAACTGAACTTGCCCCTACCACCCCCACCCGGCACTGACATATCACTAAGCTAGCGGCACAAAATACAGGTTCTCTAGCTAAAAAGCCCAAGGCAGCACTCACATTGCCTCTTCCCTCATGTTGAACACCCCCCGCGCCCGCTCAAAAACTGTTAGTACAAGCTGCGCTCAGACATGTCTCCGTCCCCCCCATCAGCAAAAATCATGGATGAGATGAGCACCCCGCCATGGCAAGTTAACTAGGGGAAACACTGTACTGTAGTTTCTGGTCTATAAGCTGCAACTTTTCTCGCAGGCTGAACCCTGAGACTTATAAAATTTATATTTTATTTTTCCCCTTTCGGCCACTCCCTTCTTCAGGGGTCACCACAGTGAAGTAAGTCGCACAAAGACTTGACAATTGTTTTTTACGCCAGATATTACACCCTCTGTGTGGAGCAGAGAGCTGCCATCTAGAGCATCCGGGGGAGCTGATGGTAGGGGTTAAAGACCTTGCTCAAGGGCCCAGAGTGGGGCAAATGAGGATGGAGGAAGGTGTGGGTGTTTCACCTTCCCCACCCACATTTTGATGTTGTTAGTATCGGGAGTTGAACCGGCGATCTTCTGATCTCAGGCCCACCTACTCTAACCTCTGCGCCATCACTCCCCCATTCTATGGCTTATACAATGCTGTGCCTAATTTATGTATTTTTTTTAAGTTTTTTTTTTTGGTCGGGCTAACGAGCTTCCTGCCACCAAAAACATTTAGCTTCATCACACGTGAGTGTTCACAGAGCTGCCCAATACACGTCTCTCTTGGGGGGGTGGGTTCTCATGACTCACTGTGACTACTTGTATATATAAGGTTAAAAAACAAAACATCTGACCAATGAAATTACTGAACAGGTCACAGTCCAAACGGGGAAGAGAGAACGGGGAGGGGCCATGCACAGATCGTGTGTGGGGGGGGGACGGGACTCCCTTGCATGCCCAGAGCAACTTTTGCTCTGCAGAGCATGAGCTTGCAGCAGGAGGAATATGAAGATGCGATCAATGACTTCCTGGTACACTACTGTATTTTTATTTTTACCAACCGTGTTAAAGGCATTGATCAGAAAAAAAAAAAACCATTTACTGTACATATTTAATTAAAAGTTTGAAAAAGCTTTCTGTGTAAATATCTCATGGTATAACGAGGACACCTGCAGCTTACATACAAGCGCAGCCCATGCATGGACAAAATTGTTGTTTGTTTTTGTGTTTTGTTTTTGTGTGTGCGTGGCTTACAGGTCCTTCTCAAAAAATTAGCATATTGTGATAAAGGTCATTATTTTCCATAATGTAATGATAAAAATGAAACTTTCCTATATTTCAGATTCATTGCACACCAACTGAAATATTTCAGGTCTTTAATTGTTTTAATACTGATGATTATGGCATACAGCTCATGAAAACCCAAAATGCCTGTCCCAAAAAATTAGCATATTTCATCCCACCAATGAAAGACAAGTGTTTTTAATACAAAAAACACCAACCTTCAAATAATCATGTTCAGTTATGCACTCAATACTTGGTCGGGAATCCTTTTGCATGAATGACTGCTTCAATGCGGCGTGGCATGGAGGCAATCAGCCTGTGGCACTGCTGAGGTGTTATGGAGGCCCAGGATGCTTCGATAGCGGCCTTAAGCTCATCCAGAGTGTTGGGTCTTGTGTCTCTCAACTTTCTCTTCACAATATCCCACAGGTTCTCTATGGGGTTCAGGTCAGGAGAGTTGGCAGGCCAATTGAGCACAGTAATACCATGGTCAGTAAACCATTTACCAGTGGTTTTGGCACTGTGAGCAGGTGCCAGGTCGTGCTGAAAAATGAAATCTTCATCTCCATAAAGCTTTTCAGCAGATGGAAGCATGAAGTGCTCCAAAATCTCCTGATAGCTAGCTGCATTGACCCTGCCCTTGATAAAACACAGTGGACCAACACCAGCAGCACCCCAGACCATCACTGACTGTGGGTGCTTCACACTGGACTTCTGGCATTTCGGCATTTCCTTCTCCCCAGTCTTCCTCCAGACTCTGGCACCTTGATTTCTGAATGACATGCAAAATTTGCTTTCATCCGAAAAAAGTACTTTGGACCACTGAGCAACAGTCCAGTGCTGCTTCTCTGTAGCCCAGGTCAGGCGCTTCTGCTGCTGTTTCTGGTTCAAAAGTAGCTTGACCTGGGGAATGTGGCACCTGTAGCCCATTTCCTGCACACGCCTGTGCACGGTGGCTCTGGATGTTTCTACTCCAGACTCAGTCCACTGCTTCTGCAGGTCCCCCAAGGTCTGGAATCGGCCCTTCTCCACAATCCTCCTCAGGGTCCGGTCACCTCTTCTCGTTGTGCAGCGTTTTCTGCCACACTTTTCCCTTCCCACAGACTTCCCACTGAGGTGCCTTGATACAGCACTCTGGGAACAACCTATTCGTTCAGCAATTTCTTTCTGTGTCTTACCCTTTTGCTTGAGGGTGTCAGTGATGGCCTTCTGGACAGCAGTCAGGTTGGCAGTCTTACCCATGATTGTGGTTTTGAGTAATGAAGAAGACTGGGAGTTTTTAAAAGCCTCAGGAATCTTTTGCAGGTGTTTAGAGTTACGTCGTTGATTCAGATGGTTAGGTTAATAGCTTGTTTAGAGAACCTTTTCATGATATGCTAATTTTTTGGGACAGGCATTTTGGGTTTTCATGAGCTCTATGCCATAATCATCAGTATTAAAACAATTAAAGACCTGAAATATTTCAGTTGGTGTGCAATGAATCTGAAATATATGAAAGTTTCATTTTTATCATTACATTATGGAAAATAATGACCTTTATCACAATATGCTAATTTTTTGAGAAGGACCTGTATATTCGGGTACGCTCAATAGTCTGGAAATTATTCTACTTACTCTCATTTACTGATTGTTAAATAATTTGTTCATTTTATTGCAACTATATGTGTAGAAAGTTACATCTTGGGAGTTGTTTATAAAGGAATGAATATTTCCTGACATCGTTCAGGACAGATTTTAGGCCTAAGACCACCTTATGTTGAAAAATAACAGTTTAGTTTTGGTCAAACTTTGATAATGTGCAATTTCATGCAAATGGTATGTGCTGTGCCTCAGCTACAATCATGTCAAATTTGAGCTCATTGCAAAGTAAAAAAACTATTTTCATGTTGGCAAAAACATTTTTGTCCATGTTTTGGTAACAGGTAACAATAATGTTAGGTAAATTTTTTACTAACTGCTCAATGTTAAATTAAAAGCCCAGCAGTGTTCTTTGCTAAAAGGTGCATAAAAAGCAAGTCTAAATAATAATACGCTTTACACAAAAGTGAAGTTCTTAATCTGTAGAGGACCTTGATGCAACTCAACACACACTAGAGCTGAAGTGGTGCTTTGAGGCTTTATGAGAAAACACAACGAGGCTCATTAAAGGCAGTGGGCCATGCCGTACACGTGTTCCCGTTGTACTACAGGGGCCCTGAGAGGATGTCTGTGGGTGCTACTCACTTGCATTGCTGTCAGCCAGAGTGTTGAGGTTGCCTGAGATGTCTCGCCTCCTGAACAGACACACCACCTTGGCCTCCACATTCCCGTTGGCTGTCTGGAAGTTGAGAGGCTTGGTTAAAAAGTCAGAACTATAAAGAAGCATTGGAGTGATGCCTGTTGTAAATGGTAAATGGACTGTACTTATATAGTGCCCTTCTCTCTTATTTCAAGATACTCAAAGTGCTTTCCACCACAATCTGTGCCTCATTCACCCATTCACACAGCACTCTACTAGATCTCTACAAAGATAACTGAACAAATCATTCTAAAGACACTAATCAGAGCTTTATCACATTCATACACTGATGGGACACACATCAGAGGCTATGAGGAGTTCAGTGTCTTGCCCAGGGACACTTCAGCATGTGACTGCTGGTGGATTCGAACCCCCAACTCTCTTATTGGAGGATGACTGCTGTAACCACTCAGTCACAGCCGCCCCATGTATTAAAGATGCAGTGATTGTACTCTTGGTAAAGAAAGAAAAACTCACTCAGATAACTTGAAATTAACAATAAGATGTATGTATGTATATGATATGTGTGTGTCTGTCTGTGTGTGTGTGTGTGTGTGGGGGGGGGGGGGGGGGGGGGGGGAGAAGAAGAGATCAACTAATGAAACTGTTGCTTTTGAAATTTCTGGTGTTCTTCAATCCTAAGCTCCCTGTCCTGTGGACTTTAATAATTCTGAATAATCAGTGCAGCTGCTGTCAGAGGAACATCTGCTGCTTGGCGATGCTCTTATAATTTTCCAGTGTTTCCTCTAACATTATTCAAGGAGGGCACCCCCCGCCCCCTCGACAAAAACAGCGAAGAGATGAACGCCCTGCCAAGGCAAGTCACCTAGGGGAAACAATGCTTTAACTTTTTCCTTCTTCTTTTGGCTACTCCCATCTTCAGGGGTCTCCACAGCGATCTAACGCACCAGTGTTTCCCCAACCATTATACAGGCGCGGTGCCCCACCCCGTCAACAGAAATGAGCACCCCACCTACCAAACTGAACTTGCCCCTACCACCCCCACCCGGCACTGACATATCACTAAGCTAGCGGCGCAAAATACAGGCTCTCTAGCTAAAAAGCCCAAGGCAGCACTCACATTGCCTCTTCCCTCATGTTGAACACCCCCCATCCCCGCTGAAAAACTGTTAGTACAAGCTGCGCTCAGACATGTCTCCGCCCCCCCCCATCAGCAAAAGTCATGGATGAGATGAGCACTCCGCCATGGCAAGCTAACTAGGGGAAACACTGCACACACATGAAAACTTGGCAATTGCAACCTCTGCTCCATCACTACCTTTAACGTGCTGCTCTGTCACGTTCTTGCTAATAAGCTCCTGAAACATTCTGTCCTCAGATTTATTTGGTGCATGTTCAGTGTGTTACACACCATGATACCAAACAGCCCTGTTACTACCAGTCAGCCTTTAAATCTTTGCTTGGACTACAATCCTTCTTGTTGAGCCCAGTTTTATTAGTTTGTTTATTCAAAATTTTCAGTGGAACCAAGTCATAAGCAATAATTGATTTTCATTAGGGGCGCACCGATTGCAGTTTTCTGGACGATCACCGATTTCTAAAAAGTCTGACCAGCCGATTACTATCTTGGCCGATACCGATTTTGTTTTATAATCGACACTGTCAGGTGTTATAAGGTCACAATGCACCTTCAATTGTCCAATATTATTTTACTGAAAAACATACCTTGAACAATATCCTAGAAACAATACAAACTAGTTTTAACTGGCCATGAGATAGTGCTCTGAAATATAAATGAAGTTTAGACAATTGTTAAAAAAAAATTAAAAAAATTGGTAAAATTGGTTTCTCATGCAAGTATTGGACGATTTCTGATTTCCTAAAATTAAGGAAATCGGGGCCAATAAATTAGGGGTGCACCGATAAATCGGTCAGTCGATTTATCGGTGCACCCCTAATTTTCATTAATTGATTTTTAGTTGTTTTTTTCCCTCACTACTCGTCCGAATGCAGTGATCTGTGGGTTTTTTTTAACAAAGGGGTACCAACACACCTGTCTACATCTGCACCTAGGACTACCGTACTTGCCACCGTATATGTTGCAACGCCCTATAAGTCGCATCAGTCCAAATATGTCTAATAAAATGGAAAAAAACAAATACGTCGCTTCGTTGTACAAGTCGCATCTATTATGAGTCACCGTTGACAACCTGGAAACTTGGGCCAGTGTTGTGCCACAAATCAACTGGCTGTCAAATGGCGGCCGCGGGAGCGTGCACGGGAGGACTTTAACAAGAATTTAACAAGATTAACCCTTAAAAACAATTATTTGTTTGCTCAGAATTATAGTAAATTCTAATTCTAGAATTGCGCTGCTCAAGGTGGCTGCATGTTGGAGCAGCTCTGTTACTTTCATTCTGAGATTTTGATTTTGTTTTTGGAAACTTCAGTTCCTCTTTTTCTGGATAAATCTCATTTTTGGGATGATTGTTTCCTCTGGTGTCAGATGCTGTGCAGCTGGAAGGATTTTTACTGAAACTTTTTTAGTTTTGGACATTTGTTATGATGCGTAACCATGGCAACAAGGCAGTTTTCTACAACCAACAGCAGCTGATTAACATCTCAAAAGCTCAAATAATATCTCAACTACAGCCCCAAATCTCAAATGAGTTGAAAGGATGTTCTGTGGACGCATTCTCATCTACCTGCCAGCTGTGCTTGAGTGCCTGATCACTGAGATCCTGGAACTAGCAGAAAACACGGCTCATGACAGTGGAAGGACAGGATCGTCCCTCGGCACCTAGAGTTGACCGTCTGCAGAGACGAGGAGCTCGACAGACTTCTGGGAGGAGTGGCCATCGCTCTGGGAGGAGTTCTGCCCAGCATTCGGGCGGTCCTACAGCCCGGGGGAACTGAGAGGCCAGCTGAGTCTGGGTGGATGGATCGGACGGCATCTGCAGCTAGTTTCTTAGGATCCACTGTGGGATGGACCTTTACAAGAGATCCTTCCTGTCTACAGCCTCAGCATCTATAACATCTCTTAATGAAATGAGGATAACGAGTTACAACAACAAATAATTTCCCTTTGGGATTAATAAAGTATTTTTGAATTGAATTAAAGGTGTGTCTCAGTTGAAGTTTTGCTTAATAAATAAACTTTAAAGGTCAAATCAGCGGCATTTCACCTGGGCGGCAAATGGCAGCTGATTTGACGTTTGCTCCAGGAGCTCTGGAGCGAGACGAAGCTGGCCAGTATGGCAAGCCAAGTATCTCATTAATAGCCACTTTTATTTATTAATGAGATATTTGGCTTGCCATATTACTCAAGCGCCCTCTAGTGGCTGAAACTGATAGTGTTCAATATTTTCCATGTCAGAATGAATGAAAACTGTCAGATGTCAATCAAAAATTGGTTTATAAATATGGGGGAAGAAAACAAATATGTCGCTTTGCTGTATAAGTCGCAGGCATGCTAATTTATGCAAAAAAAATGCAAATTATATGGCAAAAAAATACGGTAGTATATTTTCAATTCAAAATTCAATTTCAAATTCAAAAATACTTTATTAATCCCAAAGGGAAATTATTTGTTGCTGTAACTCGTTATTTCATTAAGAGATGTTATAGATGCTGACTGCTGTAGACAGGAAGGATCTCTTGTAAAGGTCCATCCCACAGTGGATCCTAAGAAACTGGCTGTAGATGTCGTCTGATCTGTCCACCCAGACTCTGCTGGCCTCTCAGTTCCCCCGGGCTGTAGAACCACCTGAATGCTGGGCAGAACTCCTCCCAGAGCGATGGCCACTCCTTCCAGCAGTCTGCTGAGCTCCTCGTCACTGCGGACAGCTAACTGTAGGTGTAGAGGGACGATCCTGTCCTTCCATATTTTGTCTTTCTCCTCAGTGCTGTTCACAACACCTGTTGTTTCCATCAGTGATAAACACTTGGAACATAACTTTTTATAGAAAATGCATCAGATTTGTTGTAATCAACTTGTTTGGAGTGAATAAATTAAACTGCCTGGTTTTCCCAGCAGGAGACGTAAAAACTGATGTACTAAAAATTAAATGGTGTTAAGAGCGTAGTTGGCAACTGAATGTTGGAAGAAAATAGGCTCATTTATGTTGTAGTGTCACTGAATTCTTGAGTGTTTGTGACAAAGCAAAGCTGTACGGCCACAATTTGAGCAGTCATTTTTTTAAATCACACATTATGTGGATGTGCACATTATGTTGTTGCTCACTTTTAACAACATTGTGCACACCGTTTATGATTTAATCTACTGGAGTACACTTCAGAAATGAATCCAGACAGATTTGGACCAGTTTAAAATAATAAATATTTATAATTGGCATGTTTTTTGTGAGAGAGTGAATGGTTGTTTGACTTGTTTGTCTCCAAGTGTCCCTGTGATGGACTTGCAACCTGTCTAGGGTTTCCCCGCCTCTTGCACAGTGACAGCTGGACATGATGACCCCTGTGACCCAAAAAGGAAGAAGCGTGTAAAGATGATGGATGGATGTTTTTAGTCCTTCATGTTCAGGATTGTAGCCTTTTAAGCTTTCATGAGAAGAGCTCCTCTTCAGGCGTCAAAATACAACTCTAGAATTACAGAAATTAAATTGAGGTGGGTTTAAGACACCCACAACAACTTCGAGACTATTGAGAGAAAAAACATGTTTCTTTGAACAAGTTCAAAATCCAACTGACAAGACTGCGAGCCTCCGCGACCACACAAGTGAACCAAGAACCCAATGTTTCCAGCTCATTAGGAGACTCCCTCGTCAGTACTGTTCACCAGCAGTCACAGCTCAGTGAGACATTTAACATGGTCCACGCTTTGAAGGCCCATAAACAGAAAATGGGCAAAAGTTCCCAAAGAAACACTCTTGGAGGGATTTCCACAAGGCTTTGGAGTGTCGCTGTGGGAATTTCCACCCATCCTTTCTGTAGAGCATTTACGAGGTCAGGCACTGATGTTGGATGAGAAGATCAGACTTGCAATCATTGTTCCTGTTCATTCTAAAGGCACTTAATGGGGTTGAAGTAACAATCTGCAACCGATAAATAAATAATAAATTAATTAAATTATTCTTTGGAGCAGCTGTGGTTGATTGGTTAGAGCAGTCGTCCTCCAATCCAAGAGTTGGGGGTTTGATTCCACCATCAGTCACATGCTGAAGTGTCCCTGGGCAAGACACTGAACCACTCATTGTCTCTGATGTGTGTCCCATCAGTGTATGAATGTGATAAAACACTGATTAATCTTTGTACAGATCTAGTAGAGTGCTGCATGAATGGATACATGAGGCACAGATTGTGTTGTAAAGAGCTTTGAATATCTTGATAAGATAGAAAGGAGCTATATAAGCGCGGTCCATTTACCATTCTTTTGTTATTCATGCTGCACAAAAGCTTTCTGTGAGAGAAAGAGGGCTGGTCATAAACAATAATAGAAACATTGAAGGTTATAATATTTGAACTGGATGCCTTGATGTTTATGTTTGTCTCTGCTGCCTTTACCACTCAGTTCTTCAGTACAAGAGTGTTACATAAATGATCTTAATCCTCTGACTGCAACAGCCTGGTGTCATTTGTTGTTGTTATGCAACTGGTTCCTGTCCCAGACCCTGGCCATTACATTTACCCAACAAGGTGCAGGCTAAATGAGGATGGTAGAGTTTTAAATGGATAATAAAACTTATGGATGTGTGGTGCGAAACCTGGAATGACAAACACCGACTCTGGTTCACCGTACACCTGAGAAAATTTAATTTATACACTTTGATGTTTTTAAAAGACAAAGAGAAGACAACCAACCTTGTTGAGCTCTTCTATTCTTCGTATCAGGTAAGGGTTGCTGGAGGAGTTCTCAAAGTAAACATAGTCTGAAACAAAAGAGAGAAAAAACAGAATCCAGGGTCATTCCTTGTAAAACAAGCGGCACTCTGATGTCCCCCATCGCTGAGGGCTTTGAAGAGTGAATGGTTGTTGTTTTCTAAATGACTGTTTTTCTGGACTGAAATTGAATAGGGAATAGAAGTAAACCTAAATGTTTTTGGTGCCAGATATTCAAGTGGGGAGGAGTTACACTGTGGAGAAGAACAGGTAATTTGTTCTTCTTGTCCGAGGCAGCGCAGAGTAGGGGTTGAATCCTCCTAGAATCGACTAGTCAACTCACGAGTTTTTAAAATTCACGTTGACTAGTCGCAGTCAGTGATTGTGTCACGTGATCAGCGCTGGCTACAAAACGGACTCTTCCAAGCAGATGGAAGGTGACGAGCAAGCCAGGTCTTGCCAAACAGGTAGAAATTCATCACCAGTGTGGAAGTATTTCATTAAAGATGACTCTTCCAGTTCAACCGCCCGTGGTGGATCCTACCCCCACCCGCCTCCTGTTTTTAGTTTAATTTATTACGTAATGAGCCGCATGTTTCTTTCAATTTTGAAGCTTAATAGTTTGTTATCCTGTGACTTATTTGCATTTTTAAAAAATAGTAGGAGCATAAATATACACTCCTGATGTTTTGTTCTTTTTTATTGTAAATAATAACTTTTTTTGATATAGCGTCTTGAGTTCCTATGATGCCACAGTGACTAGTCGATGTCGGCTCGACTTTTAAAAATATGAAGTCGTACAACCCCTAGCACAGAGTGACTGGTCCTGGTGAGTGGAGGGAGACATTTTATCTACCAGCAGGTGCAGTGGTGGAGACAGGGGGTGGCCAATCTTGAATTTTGATGTGGCAATCCAGTTTTCTAAAAGAACGTTTCTTGTGCCTAGATAGAGCCGCACACCTAAATGTAAGTTGGTACCTCACTTATTTTTCTAATTATCATGCTGACAACATGCATGGATGAACAGATGGAGGGTTATTCCACTTCCCCCTCTTCACTCAGAGACAGTGGACAGAAAAAGTGCTAACTCTGCAAGTAAAAACAAAGTTTGCCAAATTGGACAATGTTAACAAGAAATCAGTGGCTCCCTCAGAAAGTCTCACATCTTAGAAACTTGGTGTCAAACCTCAAAGTCACTCCTAAGCACTTTGGTAACAGCTTCTATAAATAAAGTTGACTCGACTACACTAAAAGTTGGACGAAGTCAAACTTATGGAATTTCAAAAATTAGAGCATTTTAGAAAATACACATTTTATGATTTATTGTTCACAATTGATTTTTTATTTTATTTTTATGAAACAACATTTTAAAAGGTTGTTATTATAAGTAATTAACAGGTTTTGCTTTTATCTAGATGTTAAAACATTGAATAAAAAGATGTGGTTTGTTCCAAACAGCAGACGTTAAGGATGGTAGCTGAAATTGTTGGATGTAACTGGGACCCCGTGTACATAATTTCGCTCCACCACATGTACCACATGAGGTGCGAATGACAATAAAGAAACTCTGACTCTGAAAACCCATTTTTAACTATCAACATTCATGTTCAATAATTCAAGAAAAAAATCCAAACAAAGTTAAGTCAGGTCCTCTGGATGGTTTCTTTTTGTTGAAACATTTCGCCTTTCATCCAGAAGACTTCATCATCTGTACTACAATCTTTACTAATTTCCATAGACTTCTATTTCCCGCCTGGACGTTTATGAGAAAGGTGGCGTAAGAGAGCACCGACATCCTCAACATTCATTCCAGATCTCTTACAGAGATCTTTAAATACGAAGAACATTTAAAACATGTGATAATTATAAACAAAACAAAAACAGATTAATCCAAAAGCTCCATCTGGTATTCTAGGTGTTCTATAAATAGAAAATTTCTCTCAGCATATTTTCGCATCACGTCTAGGCTGCCAGAGCACTTCCACACATCGTCCACTCAGTGTCTGAACCTCTGAACGTCCACCCAGCTGTGGGAAAACCAACATACTTAAAAACTTAAACTCCAGGCAAAAGATGAACCAAGAGAGCCTATATAATCAACTTGAAATAATTTATTTAGGGAATTTACTTGTAAACATTTTCTTCTGAGAAAAAAAAAAAAAAAATGAAAGAACAGAAATTTAGTTGGAAAACAAATATTTGATCATACTTTCCTTTCCCTTCTCAGACTATAGCCCAGACCTGGAAAATACTAAAACAGCACTTTATCTAGTGTTTTCTGGACTGGAATTTACTGGAGTTGAACAGGAAAATGCAAGAAAACCTTAATTATTTTTAGTGCAAGATATTCAAGTGGGTAGGAGTTACACTGTGGAGAAGAACAAAGACAGTATTTTACATTTTTATTTTGCTTGTCCGAGGCAGCACAAAGAGATGGATCCTGGTGAGTGGAGGGAGCAATTTTATCCACAACCAGGCGCAGTGGTGGAGCCAGGGGGTGACCAACGGTGGTCTTGACCACCATAGATTATTCTTTGGTGACTGATTTGAAGAAACAAAACTTTAAAAACTATAACGTATTATTTCCTCAAATGATTGGGATGGCTGGTATGTGACAACTCAATTTTGGATAGAGCCTTTCTTTCACCTAGATGTAGCCACACGCCAAAATGGAAATCGGTACCTCGTTTATTTTTCAAGCTATCCAGGTCACAACACAGACGGATGGACAGAGGGTATTTTTAATTCCCCCTCTTCGCTCCACGACAGGGGACAATAAAGCTGATCTTTTTGAGAGGTTCTCTGCTCCAGTATTTGCTGCTGGAATTACAACAAGATCAAATGGTCCATGTGGCTTCAAAATAAGAGCATGTTGTACATTCACTCAGAATAAAAAGGGATTGCTCCTCTGATCCATTAGTCCAGTTTACTGTACAAATACAAATGAGGAATTAAAAGCAGCGGGACTCTGATGCACGAGCTGCTGTCACACCGTCGACTGACTGCCGAGCAAAAACTGACAAAACACTCGAGATTTATTCAGGTTAATTGAGAAGGCACATGTTTTTTCTGCCAAAACTCTGAACTTTCATACTCCGTTATTCTAGTGATGCATTGTACGTTAGTTGTGCCGCACAACTTGATTTTATTCTAAGAGACTTTAACCTTTTATATTTTTAATAAGCATGACTATGTGGTGGGTAAAATGTATGAAGGATGCAAGTGGTAATACTTTGATCAAAATATAAACTGTTTTGTACAGATGTTAACTGGTTCATTCATTGTGTGTCCTCCCAAGAAATATTTAACTGTTTGTAGTTTAACAGTTTCACAATGTAAACTGTATTTGTTGTCAAGATCTAGTTTATTGTGTTATTGTTCTCTGGTTTTAAAAAGCTTCAAGTGTTAGAGACAAAGTTATTTTTATTATTTTGCAACAAAATGATCTTGGGATCGTGTATGGAGAAAAAACAAACTCTGAAGTACTTCGCTGGTGAAGATTCTCAGTCATACAGGACATGATGAATTCAAAAAGCGTTCAATACAAAAACAACTGGACTTTATTTGAGCGAAACGTTTTCTGTTACAAAGAAAGTCCAGTTGTTTTTGTATTGAACACTTTTTGAATTCTGAAGTACTTCATTTGTGCTTTTGAAATGCTTCTCAAAACTGGATTAAAGACACTTAACTGAACCGTGAAAAAAACAAGTCAATTAAAATGTGGCTAACATGATGAAAGTTCACAAATATTTGTCATTAGTTCTCGCATTATGAGGAGGGATGGACAGTGAATTTTCAATTTTAAAAATCAAGTTAAAGTCCAGTTAAAATGGGCAAATTTGAAGACTAAAAGCAACGGCCACAAACATGTTTTTAACACCGGTGTTGCACCAAGGTAAGTATCCACAATAGACTTTGTTCCTCCTGTGCACCCACAGCCCGTGCGCTGGGAGGGCACACAAAGCAGAAAAAAATTCAAAAAGCATAAATTTATCGAGCTTATATGAATTGAGTTTACAAAAACACAAACGCCTGCTTTTTCAGCAGTCATACTTGGTTTGTTAAAATGAAAACATGTTGAGAACAATAAAAACCCTGATGAGTTTGAGTTAAATTACTCCCAGTCATTTAATGAAGTAGAAATTGTGTTAGAAGTATAAAAAATGTAGGAAAAACAAACAAACTGAAAACGGTCATTAACAGCTATTATGGTTTAAAGTATCAGTTACATGTAAAGTTCCCACATATTTCAGCCTAAAGTCCCATAGACGTTTGATTTTTAGTGAAAAATGCACTGATCCAACAATATGTATGCAAGACATCCTGGGCCGAAGGAATAAGGTGGACAGGAAATATGTAACTTTTTTCCCTCACAATATCTTAATATTAGTAAACAATAACACATAGATTCACTCAAAACAAACGCATTCATATTTGTCCTTTAAATCTGCTATAAGGGTCTATTCACCATCACTGTTAGGAGTCTATCTGGAAACAGATTTTTGTTATTTTTTTTAATTGAACAGATATTTCTAGAAATGTTTCCATCCACAAAATATAGAAGAAAAAAATAAAAACTGCAGCAACTATGTCAGGTCTGTATTTGGTGCAGTAATGATACCACAAAAATACACCGACAGGAATGAAGGCGCTCAAAACTGCAAGCACAAGAAGAAAAAGCTGGACAATGAGTTTGATAAATAATATCAGTAGAAGGCAGTCTAGTCTGCCCATCTCACTTATTGTTTACATTATACATTCTAATATGATTACCATTATATTACATACTAGAACCTGACCAATATACCAGTAGGGCTAATATTTTAGGCTGGTATAGATGTTTGGAGACCCATCAGTATCAGTGATGATAATTGACCTATTATTTGCCAATATTGGAACTTCTAATTTTCACCCCTAAAATTTAGGGAACCAGTTGTAATTGTTCAATGTATCCAGCAGAGAGTGAATGAAAACTACTTTCAAGTCATGTCCGTTCACTTAAGTTTCACTTTCAGTTCAGCACAAACAAAGCAGCAAGCAATACTGTGTA